AGTGACTTGCTGTGCCCCTGCCGCTCTGGTGGGGCTGTGGGGACTGGGCATTGCCATCTTGTGGCTATGGGCACTGCCATCTTTGAGGGAGGGGAAGTCAATTAGCATATTCCCTCCTTATTGGTGGTGGGTGTTGCCATCTTTGTGATGGTGTAAGGGTCAATTAGCATATTCCCTCTTTATTAGATAGGATTCCTAGACTAAATCATGAAGAATTGGAAAATCTAAATAGACTGATCATTAGTGGGGAAATGGAAACAACCATCAAAAACCTATCAAAAAACAAAAGTCCAGTCCTAACTGGTTTTGCTCAGTGGATAGAGCATCGGCCTGCGGACTCAAGGGTCCCAGGTTCGATTCTGGTCAAGGGCATGTACCTTGGTTGCAGGCACATCCCCAGTAGGGGGTGTGCAGGAGGCAGCTGATCGATGTTTCTCTCTCATCGATGTTTCTAACTCTCTATCCTTCTCCCTTTCTCTAAAGTCAATAAAATATATTTTTAAAAAATCCAGGACCAGATTGCTTCACCAGTGAATTCTACCAAACATTCAAAGATTTAAAACCTATCCTCAAATTCTTTCAAAAAATTAAAGAGGAGGCAATTCTTCCTAACACATTCTATGAGAACAATATAACCCTGATACCAAATCCTAGTAAAGATAACACACAGAAAAAGAAAAGCACAGACCAGTATCTCTGATGAATACAGATGCAAAAATCCTAAACAAAATACTATTAAATCAAATATAATAGTACATCAAAAAATAATATGATCAGCTGGGGTTCATGCCAGGGGCACAAGAATGGTTCAATATATGCAAATAAATCAATGTACTGAACCACATTAAGAAAAGGAAGGATAAAACTCATATGATCTTATCAATAGATTCAAAATAAGCATTTGATAATATACAACATTCATTTATGATTAAAACACTCAATAAAATTGGAATAGAAAGAAAGTACCTCAACATAATAAAGGACATATGTGATAAACCCTCAGCTAATATCATACTCATAGCTGAAAAACTGAAAGCTTTTCCCCTAAGATCAGGAAAAAGACAAGATGTCCACTGTCACCACTCTTATTCAACATAGTGCTTGATGTCCTAGCCACAACAATAAGGCAAGAGAAAGAAATAAAAGGCATCCAAATAGGGAAGAAGTAAAACTGTCACTTTTTGCAGGCATGATGTATATAGAAGTCTCTAAAGACTACCAAAAAATGATTAGAAACAATAGACAGATACAGTCAAGTTGCAGGATACAAAATCAATATGCAAAAATCCATTGCCTTCTTGTATACTAACAATAAAACATCAGAAAAAGACAATAAAAAATAATTTCTTTTGCAATTGCAACCAAAACAAAAAAAATTCCTAAGAATAAACTTAAGAGTGTGAAAGACCTACATACTAAAAATTACAAAGCATGCCCTGGCTGGTTTGGCTCAGTGGATAGAGCGTCAGCCTGGGACTGAAGGGTCCCAGGTTCAATTCCGGTCAAGGGCACATGCCTGGGTGGCGGGCTGGATCCCCAGTAGGGGACATGCAGGAGGCAGCCAATAAGTGATTCTTTCTCATCATTGATGTTTCTATCTCTCTTTCCCTCTCCCTTCCTCTCTGAAATCAATAAAGATATATATATTTTTAAAAAATTCCAAAGCATAATTAAAAGAGATTGAAAAAAATACAACAAATGGGAAAATATTCTTTGTTCATAGATTGGATGAACCAACATAGTTCATCCGATATTTCCCAAAGCAATATACAGATTTAATGCAACCCCATCAAAATAACAATGTCAGTTCTTAAAGACATAGAAGGAGAAATCATCAGACCACAAAAGACCCCGAATAGACAAAACAATCCTGAGAAAAAACAAAGCTGGAGGTATCATGCTACCTGTCTTCAAATTATACTACGGAGCTACAATAATCAAAACAGCATGGTATTGGCAGAGAAATAGACAAACAGATCAATGGAACAGAATAAAGAGCCTAGCTACAAATCCGCATGTATGTGGACAGATAATTTTCGACAAAGGAGCCAGAAACACACAATGGAGTAAATAAATTATGCTGGGAAAACTGGAAAGCCACATGTAAATGATTGAAACTGGATTACGTTTTGTCTCCATGTACAAAAATTAATTAAAAATGGATCAAAGACCGAAATATAAGATCTGATACAATAAGTTACATCAAAGAAAATTTAGGTACCAAATTTGTGGACCTGGGTTTTAGAGAATATTTTATGAACTTGACCCCAAAGGCAAGGGAAGTAAAGGCAAAAACAAATGAATGGGACTATATCAAACTAAAAAGCTACCGCACAGCAAAAAAACAACAACACCACCACCAACAACAACAACAAAACAAACAGGCAGCCAACCAGATAGGATATGACATTTGCAACAAGGTTTTCATTTCTAAAACATATAAAGAACTCAAAAGACTCAACATCAAACAAACAACCCAATCAAACAATGAGCAGAGCAGCTATAAAAATCATCTTCCAAGAAGACATACAAACAGCCAATAGATATATTAAAAGATGTTCAACCTCACTGGCAATTAGGGAAATACAAATCGAAACTACAATGAGATACCACCTCACACCTGTTTGAGTGGCCTTTTTGAATAAGACAAGCAATAACAAGTGTTGGAGAGGTTGTGGAGAAAAGTGAACACTCATTAACTTCTGGTGGGAATATAACCTGGTACATCCACTATGGAAAGCAGTCTGGTGAATGCTCAAAAAAATGAGAATTGAGCTACCATACGACCCAATGTTCTCTCTGATGGGTATATGCTCAAAAAACTTGAAATCATATTTGTGCAAAGACATATGAACCCCTATGTTCATTGCAGCAATATTCATGGTTGCCAAGACATTAGAAACAACCAAAGTGTCCTGGAATATGGGGACTGGATAAAGAAGATGTAGTACATATACACAATGGAATACTACTCAGCCATAAGAAAGAACAAAATAGTACCATTTGCAACAACATGGATGGACTTGAGAATATTGTACTAAGTGAAATGTCAGTCACAAAAAGCTAAGACCCATATGATTTCACTAATGTGTGGGATATAAAACTGAAACTCATGAACACAAATAGCAGTGTGGTGGTTGCCAGAGGGAAGGTGTTGTTGGGGGGGGGGTGTCCTAATATCTGGAGACAGGAGAAAATTTGACTTTGGGTAATGGGTACAAGGTGCAATATACAGATCTTATAACAATAGAAACCCACACCTGAAACCTATATGTTCATGTTGATCAATATCATCCCATTAAATTTAATAAAAAATGAAAATGAAATTACTTTACATAATATTCTATTAATTTTCTACTACTGTGTGGGTCTGTGAGCTTTTAAAACAATGTAGATTTGCCCAGAACATTAGATGTTCATATATTGCAAAATTTTATATATCTTTCATTAATATATCAATTTTAGGAACTTAAATGGTATGGCAAGGTTAAATTTTGGATTTCTATAATAAGAACCCTAGATGATAACTTTAATGCATATTTTTTAAAAATTCTTTATTGTTGAAAGTATTACATATGTCTCCTTTTTCCCCCATTAACCTCTCTCTGCCCACTCCCACCCCCCAGCACAAACTCTCATCCCCCTGTTGTCTGGGTCCATTGTTTATACTTACATGCATGCATACAAGTCCTTTTGTTGATCTCTTACCCCTCACCTCCCACCCTCCTTGCCCTCCATCTGAGGTTTGACAGTCTGTTCCATGCTTCTCTGTCTCTGGATCTATTTTCATTCATCAGTTTATGTTGTTCATTATATTCAACAAATGAATGAAATCATGTGATATTTATCTTTCTCCGACTGGCTTATTTTGCTTAGCATAATGCTCTCCATGTCCATCCATGTTGTTGCAAATGGTAAGAGTTCCTTCTTTTTACTGCAGTGTAGTATTCCATTGTTTAGATGTACCACCGGTTTTTAATCCGCTCATCTGCTGATGGGCACTTAGGATGTTTCCAAATCTTAGCTATGGTAAATTGTGCTGCTATGAACATAGGGGTGCATATGTCCTTTCTGATTGGTGTTTCTGTTTTCTTTGGGATATATTCCTAGAAGTGGGATTATTGGGTCAAATGGGAGTTCCATTTTTAATTTTTTTGAGGAAACTCCATACTGTTCTCCACAGTGACTGCACCAATCTGCATTTCCACCAGCAGTGCACAAGAGTTCCTTTTTCTCTGCATTTTCGCCAGCACTTGTCCTTTGTTGATTTGTTGATGATAGCCATTCTAACAGGTGTGAGATGGTACCTTATTGGCATTTTTATTTGCATCTTTTGGATGATTAGTGACTTCGAGCATGTTTTCTGTCTCTTGGCCTTCTGTATGTCCATTTTCGAAAAGTGTCTATTTAGGTCTTTTGCCCACTTTTTATTGGATTGCTTATCCTCTTTTTTAAGTTGTATGAATTCCCTATAAATTGTGGAGGTTAAACCCTTATCAGAGATAACATTGGCAAATATGTTCTCCCATGCAGTGGTCTCTCTTGTTGTTTTGTAGATGGTTTCTTTTGCTCTGCAGAAGCTTTAATGCATATTTTAAATGAAACAAAATATTTAGGTGAAGTAAATAGTTATTGAAAATAGTCTAATTATTAATTTTGAAATATTTTAGTATTGTTAGTTATTTCTCCATGTTAACATTGCAACATATTCTGTATGATTATTTTACCAGCAAAAATTGAAGACAATATTTGATATCCAAAACCCAACATCATTATTCTTTGTAAATGCAATGTGTGGCATCACTAATGTGTGTCCAGGTGTCACTTGATTCTGTACATTATTTCTCAAATATTTTAGAATTTAATTAACAGGTATCTGAAGCTTGTTGAAATTCCATTTATGAAATTGTGATTCTTCTGTATTATGTTCTGGTTTCCCTTACAAAGTATAATGATTTTTAATGTGTTACTATGTTTTTGTGTTATTCTGTTGCTTCTAGAAATTATATAAAAGAGAAGTTCAACCTCCTTTCAAACCTGCTTCCGGAAAACCAGATGATACTTTTTGTTTTGATCCTGAATTTACTGCAAAAACACCCAAAGGTAATGCATATTCATGTGTAACATCAGGACTTTTATTCAATTAGATGCTTAAAAAGTAAACTTGCTTCTTAAGTAAAAACTAAATGAATTATATGTTTTCAAAGGGTTGGTTTGTCTCATGAAAATGTGGATTCCACATATAGCTTTGCTTGGGCACCCACCTTTCAAGTACATCCTTTAAATGGGAAATATTTATCAGAGAAGAAGGGACTAGAGTGAAGGATAAAAGGTTTCTTTGTTTTGTTTTAAAAGTCTTTTTCATGATAATGTATTAGTGGGTCAGGGATAGGAGATAAGACATGAGATATATCACTCTGACTCTTACAGTTTAGATTTTAATGAGGTTTACTTTTGATAGAATCTGTTTTATACACTAACTCAACAAATGTTTAACACCTACAAATGTCCTCATCAGTGAGGAGGCAGCAGTGAACGAAATGACAAAAATTATAATCCACATGTAGTTTGCTTAGTAGTGTGGGGAGACAGATAATATACAATAAATCAAATAAATAATATAGTATGTCTGATGGTAACATTTAATGTTTTTTGTGGTTTTATTATTTATATTAAAATAAATGCTGACATTTTATATTACAGAAATCTGTATAATTCTAATTAAATATAATTATTTGGATATTAGATTCTCCTGGTTTGCCAGCCAGTGCTAATGCTCATCAACTCTTCAAAGGATTCAGCTTTGTTTCAACTTCTATTGCAGAAGAATATAAAATCACTCCTATCACAAGTGCAGATGTATTACCAATTGTTCAGGTAAATTCCACTTAATTAGATTATTTAGTTTAGGGATAATTATTTCCTTCAGTTATTTGTAATTAATTTATAATAATTTTAACTTCATTTATTTCTGTGTATAATAATGAATTAAAGATGTTTCCATGTGTTTTTAAATAAAGCAGACAATAGTAACATTTAATTATACTTATGTAATCTCTTTTGGCAAAAAAAATGTAATGGTGGTATGTAAGCTAGTTTATTTATTGTGTTGTCTTTCGGTATCTAGAAAGCCTACAATTTAGGATCAGATCAGATCTGGTTAAGCCATTTATACATACTGATAAAAATTCTATAATGGATTATTCATGATTTTTTAAAGATTTAAGATGAATAGAGGTTGGTGCAAAGGTATGCTTACAGTTGTGAGTATGAAAAACATAGAGTTTATTCTTGTATTATTATTTATTTACTAGTGGCCCGGTGAACAAAATTCATGCACATTAAAAGGGAATTAATTATAGGAAATATTTTAATATTTCTATTTGCACTTTCTCTATAATAGAAGTGTCAGAGATGAAAGAAAATTAGTAAAATGTATATGAAAATCTTCCTCCTGTCAGAGTCTGGGGTGCGCCGTGGGACCTAGAGTCAAGTCCCCGCCCACCACCCGCATGCGCTTCAAAAATACAGAAGACCCAGAACCGGCCAGCCCCACCCCCGTCAAAACCCTCTGGGCGAGGGGCGCAGCCTCAGGTCCCCCAGCCCAGCGTCAGATGGGGGGCACAGCCTCAGGTCCCCTGGCCCAGCACCAGGGTGGGGGGCATGGTCTGAGGTCCCCCGGCCCAGTGTCAGGTGGGGGCCACAGTCTCAGGTCCCCCATCAAGCCCCACCTGGCAGGGGCACAGCCTCAGGTCCCCCGGGCCAGCACCAGGGTGGGGGGCATGGCCTGAGGTCCCCTGTCAAGTCCCGCTGGGCAGGGGCTGTGGCCTGTGGTCCATTGCCCCAGCCAGGCACCATGCAACCTCAGGTCCCTGCTGTTCGGTCGTGATGTTACGGCATCCCGGCTAATTTGCATATTCCTCTATTACATAGATAGATTATTGTACTAGAGGCCCAATGCACAAAATTCGTGAAAGGGTAGGCCGTCGCAGTTCCGGCTTCCTCCCAGCCTCCCGGCCCCGGCTGCCTCCCACCTGCCTTCCCTGCCCTAGCTGCCTTCATCCAGAAGGTCATCTGGATGGTCATTCTGCTGTTCGGTCATTTGGTCAATTTGCATATTACGGTTTTATTATTATAGATTATTTTCTATACAAACAACTATAAACCTACTTTTGCCCCAACCTGTATAAATTTTGAAGAGAAGATAAAAATGTGAAAATATTTCATTATTCTCAGTATTTTTTTAAAAAAAACACAGATAAATGGAAATGCTGCACAATTTGGTGAGGCATATGAGTTGAAAGAAGATATTGGTGTTGGCTCCTATTCTGTTTGCAAACGATGCATACATACAGTTACCAACATGGAATTTGCAGTGAAGGTATTGTCCCTGAACCTACCTTTTTTGGGGTTATATATGTAACTTAACTAACGGACATTTTTCAGTGGGGCTAGTGGAGATTGCAAAGAAAAAATGAGAAAAACCTCTAAAGACTTAATATTTTCATTTTGAATCTCTTTCCAAGACTTTATTTTGTAGAAGCATTGCATTCCATGAATGTCTTGCTTTTGAATAGTTTTATTTTAAGGTACTATGTTAACACTGAGTAATTGTAACAATTACTGTTACATTTGGATCACATTATGAGCTAATGTAGTTTTAATTACATGGACTATAATGTTAAAGAAAATGGTCTTTTTATTATTGTTGCAGTTATAGGACATTTTTAACTGTTAAAGTATAATATGGGGCAAGCATCATTCTTGAGTTTTAAGCATTTGCTCAAAACTATAATCAAATTGAAAATATACCATTAATTTTTAGACAAAGAACATAATTTATTTTCCTCTGAGATTTGTCTTATTTTATTTCTTAGGTTATTGACAAAAGTAAGAGAGACCCCTCAGAAGAAATTGAAATTTTGATGCGCTATGGACAACACCCAAACATTATCACTTTAAAAGATGTAGGTATTTAAAATCTAAGCTAATGAAGTTATGACTTGGCACTTTATTTTCTTTCTTTTTTAATTTTTATTTATTTATTTATTTTATTGTCTAAAGTTTTACATATGAAAAGGAGAGATATGTAAAACTTTATTTTTTGAAGCTTTTCATTTCTATGGTATATTTGCTGTCATGCAACACAATCTCAAGATTCTTACATTTGCTACTTCAATTATTTCCCCCCCCCATTATTCTGTATTCTTACTCTTTGTGTAGAACATCAGAAAGGAACTATGATTGTTGGTAAATAAGAATGTCCTGCCCTAGCTAGTTTGGCTCAGTGGATAGAGTGTCAGCTTGCATACTGAAGGGTCCAGGTTCGATTCCGATCAAGGTTACATGCCTGGGTTGTGGGCTCGATCCCCAGTAGGGGGCGTGCAGGAGGCAATCAATCAATGATTCTCTCTCATCATTGATGTTTCTATCTCTCTCTCCCTCTCCCTTCCTCTCTGAAATCAATAAAAATGTAAACAAACAAACAAACAAAGAATGTCCTGATTACTTGAATATATTCTGGCTAGTTAAGTAGTTAACATTACAACCAGCAACATTTATTGTTCTGTGATACTATAAATACAGACATTGGGAATCTGCCAAATTCTACATTTTATTTTCTTAACTCTACAGAAATGGGTTGTTGCACTGTGGATTGTTTTTTAAGTGAAATTGTATTACTCTATAGTTTTGTAAAATGAACATATGTCCTATTAATAGATGTTACTGAGTTTACGCTCCCTGACCAGTGCACAAAGCCTTTAGGATTGCAGCTGACACAACACAAATATACCATGGCTTGGGGCCCTAATTCACCGCAACCTCTAGAGACATGGGTCCTTGCAGCCTCTTTCGTGCCAGAGCTCAGGCTGCAGACAGTTCTGCAACAGTGAAACAGAACGTCTGGAATGTATAAACTCTTTCCAACCAACTTAGCTAATTTTCAGCATTTGGGCAATGTTCCTCATTAATATCTGTAAGTGTAATTATCACATCATTTCACTCTGGTGTCAGGGACTTAGCTCTAAAATCTATATAGAAAAAGCACCTGGATCCGAGTCTTTCAATGGTTTTGAGACTGTGCCTGGTGGAGGAAGGTGAGGCCAGTGTGTCCTTCCCCACCATGACCCTCCCATTGGCTATTGACAGTATGGACTAGGTCCCAATGATGAAGGCTAAAGCCACCTATGTCTCATGAATTCTCTAATCACAAAACAGACCCAGGAGACCATTCAACATTTTGAGCAACAGGCAGGGTAGAGAGAGATGCTGGCTACACAACCCACAATCGCCTTATCCCCTAGGAGACCAAGTACCTCCAAGTGACAGAAGCACTCCACAAACTAAAACTACAGAGTGGAGAGATAATGAGAGAAGAGAAGCAGCCAGCCTCAGCCCAGTCCACCCCCAGCAGCAACCCTCACTCTTCTGCTGAGCAATAGCCTGGAGGTTTGCTCTCTTCTGGCTCTTCCATAGTCTTATCTGGCCCAAATCCTAGCACCATGGGTTCCAGAAGTGGGGATAAAGAAAGAAATTAGACAGATAAATGGAGCCTCTTTGGACCAAGATCCCTCCAGAAGTCTAATTTGGGAGGTTTTGGCACCAAGCCCTACAGAGGAGCCAAGAAACCTTCTCCAATGCTACTTATCCACGTGCAGGCCACCCTAATGGTCAAAGATCCAACAACCTTAAAGCTGCCCAAGATGGATATCCCACTGATGGAAAAGAAGAAACAACCACCATTGATCTATAATCTTAAATCCAATGAATAGAATATGCTCACATTCAACAGCTTCTATAGCTTTCTCTTCCAGTGACTCTGGATAGAGGGTGGCTTGCCCCCACTTCTCTATTACCCTGATCTGACATAGGAAAGGTTGTGTTGTTTTTTTTTTGTTTTTTAAAAAAACAAAAACCTTTTAATCTGAGCCTAGAACTGGAGGTATCATTGTTTTTTGAGAAACTTGCCCTTGTGCAAAGCTTGCCCTTGTGTGGGAGAAGCCATTGTATATTGCTTCAATTTAAAGTTAGACTAAATAATCTTAGCAGTAATGTATGGAGGCCTCATCAATTTGTTTCATCATTTAGCCTAGACAAGACCTTGATCATTGCTTACGAGGTAGGTAACATTTGTGTTGTTCCCAAATCAAGGCTTCTTGATGGATAAGTCATGGTGTAGAGGTGCTCACTGACTAGTCTCTGGCCCTCTCTACTGCTAGTGCCTTGGGCTCCAGCCTTGTCAGTGAGGGAACCTGCATCTGTTTGAGATCTGGGCACAAAGAAAAACCAGACTTGGCATGAACCCATCTCCTGTGCGGAGATTAGTAGAGGCAGTTCTTACTGCCATGCCTCTGGGGCAGTTCTGCTGGGCAGTGCTTCCCTTTCATGTGTCAACAAACACAAGTGTTGCATATCCTTTGTTGCACTTTACAGTAAGATTAAGTTCATTGCATTTTGGTGGAAAACCATTTAAGGGAAAATATTCAGCCTACTGCTTTGGTATATATAAATGGATGTTAAGCTTTTTAAAAGTAAAGATGGTGGTAACTATACGTAGATTATATTCTGGATGTTCATATGAAACAAGTGTCACCAGAGCCTGATGTTTTTCTTAGAGGTAGAAGGATGAAAATATTTTTCTGGCAATCATTTTTCCTAAAACAAGCCTCATATCTTGTATAGAAATAGAGGTTACTGAGGAAGGAACCAGGGAAAGCACCTATTTATTTATCCTTGCTATCGACATGTTTGGTCATTGTCCTGAATACTGTATCAAATCCCTGCTATTTGTACTTTGGAAGGATGGTGTCTACATAGTCAGCTGAGCTGACTTTTCCATAGAGAGGCCCCAGAGTCTAAAATGATGAGAACAATTAATTTATTGGTGTTTTTTCTTATGCTCATATATCTTGTTTTGACAATAAAAATCTGTGCTACTTAAAAAAAATAGATGTTTTAAATGCTGACTTTTCACATAAGAAAATAATGCTCTTGCCCTAGCCAGTTTGGCTCACTGGATAGAGCGTCAGCCTGGGGACTGAAGAGTCCCAGGTTCGATTCTGGTCAAGGGCATGTACCTTGGTTGCGAGCACATTCCCAGTAGAAGGTGTGCAGGAGGCAGCTGATCGATGTTTCTCTCTCATCGATGTTTCTAACTCTCTATCCCTCTCCCTTCCTTTCTGTAAAAAATCAATAAAATATATTAAAGAAAAGAAAATAATGCTCTTTTCTCTTTAGAGAAGGCAGACAGATTGGCTATTACCTAGATCAGTTTGTTTTGGATAATATGATATGCATTTTGATTAATATCTATGCATATAAAGAGGTAATATGCTAATTGCCGTTATGGTGTCCCAGTAACGACCAATTAGCATATTGATGCGTGCGCATCAGGGGGCAGGTGGTGGGGCCAAGTTCCTGGGGCTCTGATAAGAGTGCCTGACAGGAGCCCAGACTGCTAAGAAGGAAGAAGAAGCAACCACGGGGAGCTCTTCCAATCTCCCTGCACGGACACCCTACCCCAGCCCCCGCACCCCTGGGGGGACGGATGGACACCCTACCCCAGTCCCGCACCCCCGGGGGGGACGGGGAGGCTAACCAGCCAGGGAGAAGACACAGCCTTGGGAGTAGCTGCAGCCTGCACCTCCGACTCCCGATCTCTTCCCCTGCCACCTCCGCCAGGGGTGCCCACAATAGCATTCCAGCGACCACCCATCAGCGCTCCTGAGGCACATGGGACCCATGGCCCACTGCTGCCAAGCTCCCTTCACTGGAGCTGGGCACACCTCTCCTCCCTACAACTCCAGACCCCGGTGGAGGGAGGCCTGAGCTGCCCTCCAGGGTCAGACCCTTCCACCCGACAGCAGCAGCATGTCTCTGCAGCTGATGTGTGCTGAACCTCCCTGGGGGCGCAGCTAAACCCACCCTCCTGGCTCTGCCCTGGCCCATCCCTCACCCTGCTTCAGGAGATTGGAGCCCTGCCCTGAGCAGGTACAGCTGTGAAACAGCCACGTACAATTTAAAGAATGGCACCAAGCAAGAAGGTTTGACAGTTACTCCCCCTTCGGCCTCGCCACCCCCCTAGAGACCCCCTAACTCCCTTTACCCCCCAGCACCTCCAAGGACAACCACCGCTACAGAGCTGCTGGCCAGAGCCTGCCCCTCCAAAGCCTGCGGAACCCTCTGCAAAGCTTCCATAGCTACAGTCCTAGGAAACAAAAATGCCCATCTCCCCTAATCAGCACCTGCTACCTACGAGGGTACGAGTGGGCAGTTGGGGACGAGCAGGCCGGCAGGGGAGGCAGTTAGGGCAATCAGGCCAGCAGTGGGGGGCAATTGGGGGCAATCAGGCCAGCAGGCAGAGTGGTTAGGGGTGATAAGGCAGGCAGGCAGGTGAGCGGTTAGGAGTCAGTGGTCCCGGATCGCGAGAGTGATATCCGACTGCCAGTTTAGGCCCGATCCTACAGCAGTCTCGGACATCCCCGATTGGTGAGGGTGCAGGCCAGGCTGAGGGACACACACCCCCATAGTTTTTAAATAGTAGTTTATATCTATCTATCTATCTATCTATCTATCTATCTATCTATCTATCATCTATCTATCTATCTATCTATCTATCTATCTATCTATCTATCTATCTATCTAATCTATCTATGTCGCAAGGCCTGAATGAAAGGGTACACTTATTTTTTCAATTTATTTTCTTTGGTATAGTATTTGAATTCAACAAACATTTAAGACACCATGTCAGATAATGGACTATGGGGAGGATATTAAAAACTAATAATACATTTACTGTCAAAAGGAAGCTTACTATTAGTAGGGAAGAGAAGTGTCTATAATACAGTAAAAGCAAATGAGATAGATGCCATTTGAGAGGTACAGAGTTCTATTTTTCATTTATATCCTTTGATGAAGTGTAACGTACTACCTGAAAAGTTAATGAAATTATGTGTTTAACATGATCTCAGGGACTGTTTAGCCAATTTAATCTTCACTACTATATTGGCAATAAAAAATATAGTTTTAACACTAGAGGTTCACTATAAAAGCAAAGTAAATGTAATTTAAACATTTCAGAATTATAATTATAAATAATAACATTTTTAAAATGTGTTCTTTTTTAGGTTTATGATGATGGTAGATATGTTTACCTTGTTACGGATTTGATGAAAGGAGGAGAACTACTTGACCGTATTCTCAAACAAAAATGTTTCTCAGAACGGGAAGCTAGTGATGTACTGTTTGTAATAACTAAAACAGTTGACTACCTTCATTGTCAAGGAGTAAGTTGTAGTTACATTATTTCCTTCATTTCTGTGACTTGTATATTCATAAAATTATATGTAGGGTATACCACTTAAAGTGAATTACTTTTTTATAGAGAATATATATTTTATAGAGAACATACTAATAAAACTCACAAAGTAGTGAAAGTTATAGAATTAGGAAGTTGGAAAATGTTATCATTTTGTCCATTCTGCCTGTTGACCCTGATTTAGTGTCATATTAGTTTTAAAAGTGGTTTGGATTATGTAATTGAATCTAACCTTGACTTTGAAATTATTAAACCTAATCAAATTTTTATTTTTTTTTATTTTTATTGATTTAAGAGAGGAAGGGAGAGGGAGACAGATAGAAACATCAATGATGAGAGAGAACCATTGATTGGTTACCTCCTGCATGCCCCCATTGGGGATTAAGCCCGCACCCCAGGCCTGTGCCCTGCCCGGGAATTGAACTATTACCTCTTGGTTCAAGGTCGACACTCAACCATTGAACAACACTGGTCAGGCAAACCTAATCAAATTTAAAAGTGAAACATAAAAGGATTATCCAAGGACATGTGAATATTATTCATATTATGCTATACCTAACATATAAAGTTCTGGCAATGAAAGGACTTTATTTCTTGATTCTTGCCAACCCCTATTCCAAATACAGTAAGAAATTTCGATTCTAAACATGTGAAATATTAATCTATTAAAGTTTGTAGTAGTGGAGCAGGTCTCATATTTTGCTACCTACCTGTTCATAAAGAAAGCAAATGTTACCAAAAAAGGTCAACTCTTATTATGTACAACTCTGAAAGGAAACATTGTCACAAATAATTTAAAAATTTAGTTGGAATCAGTTGTAATAGCGGATATGTATGCACATAAGTATAAACAATAAATTAATGATCAACTCAGAATTGGCACAGTGAAAATTCTACATGGTCCCCTTTTATAAATAAGAAAAATAAGCCAGTACTCAGTTTTGTGTCTGGTTTAATGTACTACATTTTTCAATATTATAAAATATGAATTATATATGGCTGTTATAATTTAACTAGAGGCCCGGTGCACACAGAGCAGGGCCCATGGGGGGGTTGGGGTGCTGCCCCCTGTCACCCACAGAGCAGGGCCGATCAGGGGGTTGGGGCACTCCCCCCTGTCACACTCAGGGCAGGGCCGATGGGGAGGTTGCGGCTCCACCCTGTCACACACAGAGCAGGGCCGATCAGGGGTTTGGGGTGCCTTCCCCTGTCATGAACAGAGCAGTGTGGATAGGGAGGTTGTGGCCCCGCCCCCTGTCACACACAGAGCCACAGGGCGATCAGGGGGTTTGGGCATTGCCTCCTGTCACGCTGCTCCAGGGGCCAGGAGGCCCCGTGGCTCTGCTGACCCCAGTGCTGGGAGGCCTCGCGGCTCCACTTGACATCGGGGCAGTGAGGCCTCGCTGCTCCGCTGATCCCAGTGCTAAGAGGCCTCGCTGCTCCACTGATCCCAGTGTTGGGAGGCCTCGCTGCTCTGCTGATCCTGGTTCTGGGAGGCTCCGCTGATCCCAGGCCAGGAGGCCTCATGGCTCTGCTAATCCCAGGCCGGGAGGCCTCGCGGCTCCGTTGATCCCGGTGCCGGGAGGCATATTACCCTTTTACTATATACGATAGAGGCCTGGTGCACGGGTGGGGGCCGGCTGGTTTGCCCTGAAGGGTGTCCTGGATCAGGGTGGGGGTCCCGCTTGGGTGCCTGGCCAGCCTGGATGAGGGGATGATGGCTGTTTGCAGCTGGTCACACACCCTTCAGGGTGGGGGTCCCCACTGGGGTGCCTGGCCAGTCTGGGTGAGGGGCTGAGGGCTGTTT